AGTAAATATTTGATGGGTGGTTTTTTTTTTAAATAAAAGTTTCAAAATGTAAATTTTCATCATCATTTAGAATATTTATTTCACCCTTTCCAGGTTTGATATGTAAAACAGCACCTTTGTTTCCATGGAAACCACAATAATTTGGGGCACTAAATACTGTGATAAGTTGCTTGTCATGGGAATAATCAATACCATTTTCTTTCAATTCATGAGATCTAATAATTTTTTTCAGTTTATTGAATTCTAAAAACTTTGTTGTTATTGATTTACCAAAAGAAAATCCTAATCCTCTTTTGGAGGGGCCTAGTTCATCTGTTTCATCTGTAGGATCAGTCCACAAAAGATCATGGAAAAGACCTACATTTTCTGGTTCTGAAAATCTATTAATTTCAAGAATATCTTCTAATGGTGTCTCTGGATTTGACATTAAACCACCATGCATTATTAGATAATCATCATTAACACATATAGTCAAAGGCAAACATTGAAATGAGTCTTGGAAAAGTTCAAATACAGTAACGTTATATTTTCTTAGTGCTTCTCTTTTAAATCCATAAACAGTAGACATTATTAAACTTTCATGATTACCTCTGTTAATGAAAATATACTTTGGATAAACTATTTTCAAACAATAAAGTAAAAAAGCAATCTCACAACTATGTGCTCCTCTATCTACAAAATCACCATTAAAAATGTAAATATGATCTTTGCTAACTTTACCAAAAATGTGAAAAATTCCTTTAACATTTTTAAATTGACCATGAACATCACCAATAACAGTTATGGTTTGTTCAGTATTTTCGTTGTTTAAATGAGTTAGATTAGGCTCATCTTTAAATATTTTAGATGCATTCAAGATAATGGCTTTAGCTAAATTTGAAGGTAAAACTTTCATTGAAGATCTTCCGTAAGGTCTAAAAATTTCATTGACCATCAAAGATATGAAATCTTGACCTAAGCCTCTAACCTCGATATGCTCATTCAAGCTCAAGTTGTCTTCGAATGCATCTTTTGTATCATTAGGAATGAACTCTTCCTCTAATATATTTCCTTTTCCATCTGTTTTAACTTTAACAATTTTAAGTAATTCATTTAAATAAAAGTTTTCAATTGCTTCCCATTCCATATCTTCACTTTGTTTTATATTTCTAGATGTATTTTTGTTTCCAATTTCATTTGGATGAAGAAAATCTGTTTGACATTGAAAAGTTCCATCTTCATGTTGAACAACTTGGTTTAAGTTTGTGTTTACATACTTTTTGTTATAAACAATAGGTTCAGTTATTTTATCTGTAGTCATAATAGGTATAGTTTAATGTTTTTTTTTTTTATGTTAAAATGTCCTTTGGTTGATGATTATATAATTCTTAAAAGTTATAGTTTCTGATGTACGATATTGTTATGGGGTATGTTTTAGTAATGCTTGATTTTAATAAATAAAATATCAATATGTATACATTTAATTTTATTTGGTTTTCTTTCTACAATATTCAAAAAGGTTTTTTTTTTCTCAAAAACAAATAAATCTATAAAATGAAAGTTTCTTTTTCTATGGATATGAGAAAAAAAAAAGTTTTGCGATGAGATACATTTTTTCATTTTTTTTTTTGTCTAGTGATTCCAAATTCCCAAAAGGGAAAGTTGACTCAGTCATGCTTTTAAGATTAACAAAAGTATAATTTCTTTTTTTTTTTTATAAACATAATAATAATTAACGATATTAGTTTAATTAATAGAACTATACAATTAAAGCAAATATATTGATATATATATATATAATGTCTATTTTAATATTACCAATTAATAGTGTTTAAATAAGTTTCAGTTCCATCCGCATCTTCATTCTTTTTAAACAATTTTTCACCTTTAGTTTTAACATCAAAATCTAAACTTGGTGATATCTTGACTTTTCTTTTCAATTCATGTTCAAGAAGAGTTTTATAATTCCAATCTAAGAAATCTTCTAAATTATAATTCAATTTTCTGAAAGGTTGTTTGAAAATTTTGGATAAAGAAGCTACATTTGGATGGTAATGAGACATTAAAGTATCAATTTCCCATAGAGAACTATTGATAGCATCACTCAATTCTGGATCTTGTTCATTTTCATCATATGGATCCATGAATTTTTTATCTTTAACTTTATCAAATAAGGCATAATTTTTTGGAACATATTCAGGATCATGAATCATAATCATACAATTTGGATGCAATTTTAATAGGTTATAAATCAGTGGTAAAATAGAAACAATAGCGCCTGGGGATGCTGTCAGTAGTAGTCTACTCATTCTCTTGATGAAAGAGGCTACTAAGTTAATTGACAAGTGGGTACTTCTTAAAAATAAGTCTATCAATCTTATAAATCTTGATCTGTATTTCAAATGCAATAAATCTTCCGTGAATAATGCATAAAGTTTGTAATAGAAATTTGGATATTCTAAGTTGTATTTGTGCATTAAGTTGAACAACCCATTTAAAGCTAGCAATTGAACAGCTAAATCATTAGAATTATCATAACAATCTGTTAAAAAGTCTAACAGTTTTGTAGGTTGTTGTAGTCTTGGAATGACCCTTTTATGTAAAATAGTTAAAATAGACTTGAATTGTTCATCACTTATTAAACTATTTGATAAATTGAATAGCCAATTTTGTTCAAAAGCTTTTTTAAATTTGAATTCATTTTCCATTAAAGTTGGAGGATTGGAAACAAAAATATTCAAATCAGAATCATTGTCATCATAGTTTGAATCATGGTTTGTTAATGCAAACCAATATCCAGCATTATAAACAGAATTTCTTGGTATCAAATTAGTCTCAATGGATTCTGTTAAACTTTGATACTCTACTTGAAAATAAAATTGAACATCAGCATATTTTTTATAATAAGTTTCAGTAAATTCTTTTACCAAATATGATTTATCAAATTTACTTTCCTTAAATAATGCTACAATTAATTTCTGCATTGTCTTATTTGGGAAATAAGCAGCACCCATCTTAGATGCAAAAAAAGTAGCTTCTAATTCTATACATTTCATAAAAAAATCTAAACAATCTAAAGAAAATGAATTTTCTTGTTCTAAATTTTCAATGTAAAAAATTAAAATTTTGTTTTTGAAATTTATATCATATGTTTTTCTTAACCATTTGTATAAGATAGACTCTTTGTCATTGGTAGCCATGCTTGGGTTTAATTGTAGTTTAGTTGCTAATTTATAATAGATTTTAAATAATACATGTGTCAAGTATCTAATATTAGACAAAACTTCTTCATTGTCATCTGTTATTTGAGTTAAATCGTTGTTATAATTTTCATAAAGTTTAGTTAACTTCAATACATTGTTATAGTTTTTTGTACCACCTTCAATAATTGATTTGTAGTATGTATCAATCTCTTCCCTAAAATTATTCATTGTTATAGAATATTTTATTAGTTTGGTGTTTTAGAAATATGTCTCTTTTCCTAGAATAAGAAGAAATGTTCAAAGTAATTCTAATTTTCAATTTTTTTTTTTTTAATGCTAAGTTAAAAAAGAAGTTCGTCCAAAAAAGGAAATGGTAAAGAAAAAAAATATATTTAAAAAAAAATTTAAATTTTTAAAGGAGATAAAAAAAAAAAAAGAAATGCAAAAAAAAAAAATTAAAAATTACTTTCTGCAAAAAACAAATAATCATTTAAATAATTGTTTGCAAATCAAATTATACATATATATACACATTTTAAACCAATAACACAATACTATATATTATTTGATAAAATGATCACATCTTTATTTGTAATGGATCATAATGGAGAAACTATTTTTAACAAAACTATTGGTGATAGCCTCAAAAAAAATCTATCTTACAGAGATATATTTAAAACTCAAGTGATTATGGAAATAAACAAAAAGATAATTAGAGAAATTGATGAGAAAGCTTATAATGTAAGAAATTCTATTATTTTTAGTAATCAAAATTCTACAGACAAAGATTACCACTCAGATCATATACCTATCCTCACCATAGGAACTACAACATTTCAACATATTTGCAGGAATGGTATATATCTTGTAGCAGTAATGCAAACAAATGTGGAGAGTTTTATTGTATGGGATTATTTGATTTCGTTATATGATATTTTGAAGAAACTGAATTTAAGTCAATCTTCATTGATGAATCATAACTTGCTGAAACTTATTAATATAGTAAATTTTACACTCAGTGAAGAGGGAGTTCCTCAAAAAAACAATATGGACATTGACACAATAAAGAAATTTTTAATTCAATCTTATTGATCTTTTTATAATAAACATAAACTTTAGGAATACTTTTTTTTTTTTTACTTTTATTCTTTTTAATTAAAACAAAATATGTATGTTTTTTTTTTTACTCTGAAACTATGATTAATATTTTTTTAAAAAAATGTAATAAAAGAAAGAAAAATAAAATTACCCCTAATTCATTTTTTTTAATGATTGACACTAAAAACTTAATTTAAATAGGATGAATGATTTCATATATTGCAATAAACAGATATTGGTTATTCTTTTATTTCAATAATTATTGTAATTTAAAAGACAATTTTTTTAAAAAAGCATGAGTGTCTTATCATTTATTGTCTGATTTTTTTACAATATAAAAAAACATCTAACATATAACAATCCCTCGTAGTGTAACGGCTATCACGGCGCTCTTTCACAGCGTAGACCCGAGTTCGACTCTCGGCGGGGGAGTTAAAAGCATCGGTGGTTTAATGGTAAAATTCAACGTTGCCATCGTTGAGCTCCGGGTTCGATTCCCGGCCGATGCATTTTTTTAGTATTTTAATATAATATTTTTTTTGTTTTGGAAAAATAATGATAATCTATGTAACAAGGCTTCTTCAATTAAAATAGAATGAAAACATCTTATTTTTTTTTTTTAATATACAAGAGTTTCATTAGATTTTTAAACATAAATATCGCGTGCCAATTATGTCCTATGATGTTTTTTTAAAAAATAATTTTAATTAAATTTAATAAGAATTTGTGGCGTAATGGTAGCGCATTGGATTCCAAATCCAAGGGTTGCAGGTTCAAGTCCTGTCAAGTTCATTTAATTTTTTTTTTTCAATCCGTATTTTAGTTGAAGTAATTACTGTATACTTCAACGCATTTTTTTTTTTTTTAATTGTTGATATAAATATTTTAATAAAGTTTAGTTTAAACTTGCATGATTGTTTTCTTTTTTAAAAAACCCCCACGCTATTTTTTCTTAATTATTTGTCAAAATATGATTTCAAAACATATAAGTTCTGTTTGTTAAATGTACTCTTATTCAACAACTTTCATGTTTCTAAGAGTTCAATAAAATATTCTAATTGCGTTAGAGGCTATATTTGCTCTTGCCCATCTCTCCAGGGTTTATATTAAAAACTTGAAATCATAACACACAAAGATTGTCTATAATCACTATAAACATTGTGGTATTTCTCCGAGCTCTTGAATCTAGTAATGAATTTAAACTTAGTGCTGTTTTTCTTCTATATATATATATATATTTTAATATGTAATTATTTATCATTTGAACATATTTTAATTCTTCATTTTTTTTATTTTTTTTCACCAACTCAGTAGATTTCACTGTGATAATCTTTGTTTAATGAAATTTCTAAGGAGCAGCTTTAAAAAATACAATATCACAAAAAACAATTATGTCATATTTAATATTATATATGAATTATTCATTGTTGAATTAAATATTTTTTTATTTTTATAACGAATTATATGCAGTTATTTTTGTCTTTTGAACATAATCACTGGGCTAAAAGTTGTATTTTGCAAACAACTTTATTTAGCAAAACTTAACCAATTTATCTAGTGAATCCATCAATTTATATTTTTGTCATTTATCTACATTCCTTATTATTTTACAAATCTAATCACTAAAACTAATATACATTTAATGTAAATCAAAATTACTAATAAAGTATGATATAATCTGTAAAGTATTTAAACTAGCAAAAAACAAAAATAAAAAGTTTTAATAATCCGTGATAGTTTAACGGTTAGAATAGGCGTTTGTCGCATGCCTGATCGGGGTTCGATTCCCCGTCGCGGAGATTATTATTTTTTTAAAATAGCAAAAGCTTCTGCTTTTGTTTTTTTTTTTATTTCCACCCTGTTATTTTTTTTTTTTTAATTTTCTCAAATTAAATAACAACACATTTTTTTTTTTAAAATAGCTATAACAAAACATTTCTTTATTTTTTTATAACAAAGAAAATATCTTCTTATAATACCCAAGCAAATACATATACATATAGTAATCTAAGTATATAATGAATAAAGTTCCTATTGTATTAGATCAAGGTACCGGTTTTGTCAAGATTGGTAGAAGTGGTGAAAATGCACCAGATTTTTCTTTTCCAAGTATAGTTGGTAGACCAATTCTTAGAGCTGAAGAAAGAAGTTTAGCAGGTATCTCTTCTAAACCTTTGAAAGATATAATGTTTGGTAATGATGCACAAGAAGTAAGATCATTTCTTCAAATTTCTTATCCTATGGAAAATGGTATAATTAAAAATTGGTCTGACATGGAATTGTTATGGGATTATGCCTTTTATGAAAAAATGAAATTACCAACAACTGCAGGAGAAAAAATATTGTTAACAGAACCACCAATGAACCCACTTAAAAACAGAGAAACAATGTGTGAAGTTATGTTTGAGAAATATGAATTTGGTGGTGTTTATGTTGCTATTCAAGCTGTTTTAGCATTGTATGCACAAGGTTTATCATCAGGTGTTGTTGTAGATTCAGGTGATGGTGTTACACATGTTGTTCCAGTCTATGAAAGTACTGTTCTTAATCATTTAACTAGAAGATTGGATGTAGCAGGTAGAGATGTAACTAGATATTTGATTGATTTATTGAGTAGAAGAGGTTATGCTTTCAACAGAACTGCTGATTTTGAAACAGTAAGACAAATTAAGGAAAAGCATTGTTATGTTTCATATGATTTGGACTTGGATACAAGACTAGCCAGAGATACAACAACTTTAGTAGAAGATTATGAACTGCCAGATGGTAGAACAATTAAGATTGGAAGTGAAAGATATGAAGCTCCAGAATGTATGTTCCAACCAAATTTAATAGATGTTGAACAACCAGGTATTGGTGAATTGTTATTCCAAACTATTCAATCTGCTGATCTTGATGTTAGATCTGCATTATATAAAGCTATTGTACTTTCAGGTGGTTCTTCTATGTACCCCGGTCTTCCATCAAGATTAGAAAAAGAATTAAAACAATTATGGTACACAAGAGTTTTGAACAGAGATCCTTCTAGATTAGATAAATTACAAGTAAGAATTGAAGATCCTCCAAGAAGAAAACATATGGTTTTTATTGGTGGTGCAGTCTTGGCTAATATTATGGCTGATAAAGAACATATGTGGTTGTCAAAACAAGAATGGCTAGAGGGTGGTTCACAATCATTAGCTAAGTTTGGTCCTCGTTAAAGAAAGAAAAAAAAAATTTAAAAAAAGATTAATGATTGCCATTATTTTAGGAATATATATATATTTTTTTTTTTTTTTTTTTAATACTAAAATTATAGGCATATATGATATCTAAGTTATATAAAACAATTAACAAAGCTGTGTTTTTTTTTTTTTTTTTACTTTTAAATATATATTCCATATAAATAAGTATTATAAGTTCAAAAGTTCATTAATTATTTCATCTAAAGAACTATCATTCAATTTTCCATAAGAATTAGATTGTTTGGAATTGTTTAGTTTTATCAGTGAAGAAGTAACAATTTCTTTTATTTTTTCTTTAGAAATACTAATGGAATTTAAAAATTCATCTTGGTATAATATATTATCTAAGGTTGGTCTTTTTTTAGAGGCTTTTTGTAAACAATTACTTATTAGTTTGATTAGTGAAGTTGGTATCAAATTTCCTGTTTTATCTCTTTGAGGAATTTGGACACCTGTTCTTGGATCCATTATAGCTTTTAACCTTTTACTTCCTTCAAATTTTGCATATGGAGGATCACCATAAACCATTTGATATAAAATACAACCTAAAGACCATATATCAGATGGTTTCCCAACTTTCCAGTAAACCTCTGCATTATCAACAGTATTGTAATCAAATACAAAGTTTGAGCCAGTATAATTAGTATCATTGTTATTTAATCTTACAAGAGCTTCAGGTGCCATATAATTAGGAGTTCCGAATTGTTTGTCCCTATAAATATTAACTGTATTATCAGGAATTGAATCCGCAATTCCAAAGTCAATAATTTTTAAAATGCCTTTAACAAACACAAAATTTGCAGGTTTCAAGTCAGAATGTATTATATCTGCATCATGAACATCTTTCAAACATAAACAAATTTCTTTAAAATGATGTTTTACAAAGTCAAAATCAAAATTAAAATTTTTTCTATTAGCTAAAACATCTGATAGGGAGTAGCTACCACATTCCATTACCAAATTTATATGATCAGTTTTCATTTCATAATCTACTAATTTGACAACTCTATTTTTATTTTGAAGCTTATGCAATATATTAATTTCACCTTTAAAAAAATTGATACTACTTTCATCAAAATGATCAAAATCTACTCTTTTTAATGCAAATGTTGTTAAAGTTGGAATTCCTTGTTGTTTCATAGCTTCTAAAGTCTCAATTTTGAAAAGTCTTTTTATTTTATACACTTTTGAAGTTCCACCTTTCCCAATTAGTTCTATCTTTTTATATAAAATCCCATTAACCTGTACTTTCTCATTTGGAGTCATAGAAGGAATATTTAATATGTTGGTATCAGTATTGATGTTATTTTGGTTTGATAATATGTTTCTGTTTTCAATTGTATTTGGTAATTGTCTAGTTGGTCTATAGTTTTGAGCATTAAAATTTTCTTCAGCATTAGACATATGAACTGCTGAAATAGATCTTTTCAAATTTATAGTCTTAACAGGTTTTATAGGTGATCCTGAATTAAATCTTTGTGTTGGGTATTGATTAATATTTTCATTTTGTTGCAGTATGTTATCATTTCTGTTTGTATTTTTCAACTCATTGTTTAATATATATGAATTATTTTTTATATTATATTCTTTTTCATCATTTTTTACAGGAGATTCTGACCTTTTGGCTTTTCCAAGATCCACATCAAATAATCTGTTATTAACAAACCTACGAAGTTTTTTGGATGTATTATTCATATCTGTTGGCATTATATTTGTTGATAATGATGAAATAGAGTTATTTTGATATATTCTTCCACTATCAAAGTTATTATGTTCATTTTTATAGGAAATATTTTCAACTTCTTCTTTTTGAAAAAGCAGTCTTTGTTTTAAGCTTAAATTTTGATGGAAAGTATCTGCTCTATCGCTATTATTAAAATCGTTATTAAAAGAATGATTTTCAAGTTTTTTAATAGGTGTTTTTAATTTATCCTTGCTTGTTATGTTAACATCCATTTGAGCTGTATTTATAAATAATTCAAAAGTAAATTTTGATTCTTTTGAATAATTATAATAATGGATGATGTATCTTCTTCTTTTCTCTCTCTTTGTCTTAAAGAATTAGAAATTTGAACTAAAAAAAAACCCCCTCTGTTAAAACCTAGATTAAAGTAAATTATAATAAAGAAATAAGAACGATTTAATTTAATGGAACCATAAATATATAAAAGTTCTTTTTGTTTAGTTTACTTTTGTTTTCTATCTTGTTTTCTTTTCTTTTTTTTGTGATTTTTTAAAAATGATTTGTTTTTTTTTTTTAAAAAAAAATTAAAATAAAATAGGTAATATTTTCAAGCGCAACCATATTTTAATTAATACAAAATAAAAATGTTTACATTTAAATTTAAATAATATAATTTACAGTTTAATAGTATTTAAGTAATAAACTTTTATAATATATAAATTTTATTAAATAACATTAAAATAATTTGTTTATAGGTGTAAACAATATATTATTCTTTTTTTTTTTAAAAAAAAGATGTTATTTTATTCAAGAAATAACTTTTAAAAAAAAAAACAAGACCTACCTAAAGTTTTTAGTTGAGTAATTAATAAAAAAGAAAAAAT